GCATACTCATGGTGGATATGAGCAGTTAATTATTCCAGGCAGATTAAGGGTGCGCGCTGGGCCAGAGAAACCGCACCCCGCGTAAGCACGATTCAGAAGTGGGAGGCCTCTGATGCAAACAATTCCTTCAGCCTGATAGTTCGAGTCCCGGTTACAGGTTGAGTTGTTGATGTGGTAGTGACTTGAACACAAGCGGTGTTGGTAGGCGGAAAGGATCACAAATCCAGGCTAGAGGGCGTCGCAGTTCTGTCATGCGAATGGGGATGAAGGAGTCGAGGTGCACAGGCATGGGCTTCCTTGGTGTGGACTAGATCTGCAGCATCGTTCTTAGGCGTGCTGCCTTGAACGTGTCGAACGCACGTTGACCACATGGACTAATTATGTCGGATCTCCCGTACGTCTGGGCTGCCAACAGGAATCCCCGTTGGTGGTTTCTCAGCTCGTGTCCCAGCCAGTTCCGTTCAGGGTTAGCTTTGCGCTGCCTGCCACAAGCGACGTGTCGCATTGGTCAGCTATTATATGGCGTAAGTATATGACTTCTTTATGCAGGTGTGCGAGACGCGCCCAAGTGGGGGGTTTTAATTAGACCTAACAGAGACAAAAATGCGACCGATCTTGCAGGCGTTATATCTTGTGTCATCCTTAATGTCGATGTGATCCATGTGGAACTAGGATGACGATGCTCAGAGGCTGACAAGACAAGTTACTAATACCAGCGAATAAGAGCGAATAGGAGTGAATGCGTCCGAAAAGTATTGCCGAGCTACATTAAAGGTAATAACGACCCCCGATAGCGTACATGTATAGAGCTTAGCAGCATCCTTGGATTGTAGGTAAAAAGTCCGACTATCGGTTGAGAGGTCAGCAGGGCGATGTAACATGGAATTGGTTCTCGGAACAAATAGCATTGGTTCATCAAGGTACGTTCATGGATGGTGCTACTGAGGCAATATATAGTACAAGTACAGTGTGAACTCGAGCGTATGTATACAGCTCTCGGCCTACTTTGACCTGCGCTTTCCTTGATTGCGCGGTCGGTCTTGAACAAGGAAGGTGTGCTTGTTCCTCTTGTGCCTTGTCTTGTAGCCTCCCTTTGCGGGTGTTCCCCACGGACTGACGGGATGCACGTTACCCTTTGATTTACCACGACCTCCACCGTGGGGATGATCAGCTGGGAGATGTTAGCATACTGCAGAGCGTGAATTGATAGGCCTGAGCACTAACCTGCGTTCATGGCGACACCGCGGACTTCGGGTCGCTTTCCTAGCCATCGAGAACGTCCAGCCTTTCCAAGGGATGTAAAGTGTGACTGCGGGTTGCTGGCAACACCAATGGTACAGCATGCGTCGGCGCTGACCTTGCGGATTTCTCCACTTTGCAACCGGATGATGACGTGCTTAATCTCTGTGCTGCTGCCCTTTTCTACTTCCTCCTTGTTGACGATGATAGCATATGTGCCTGCACTCCTGCAGAAGACGCCCCCACCCTGAGACTTGGAGCCAACGTTGTAGACTTGGGAGCCGAGCGGCACCATGTGGATAGGAAGGCAGTTGCCTCGGGCCGCTGTCTTAGCAGCCAGCATACCGGGATCGATACCACCACCCATGCTGGCAATCAGCTCTCTGGGGATGCCGCTGCGGTAGCTCTCAACCTCGTCTCCAGCGCGCATACCATCGGCAGCAATGATGTAAGACTTTTCTCCGGTTGCCAGGCGTGTGAGTAGGGCAAGATGTGCGCTCCGGTTGGGGTCATATTCTATGCGCTCGACGATATGCTTGCCAGGCAGGTAGCGCTTGTAGTCGACAATGCGTATGCGCCTCTTGTGACCGCCACCGCGGTGTCTCACTGTGACCCGCCCGGTGTTGTTCCTTCCTCCCAGGTGCTGTCCCTTTCGGGCAATGGTGAGCTTGAGGTACGGTCGTCCCTTCCACAGGTGGTCATTGACGGGGCGCTTAAGATGGCGCAATCCGGGTGTGCGGGGTTTGTATGTACGCAGAGGGATAAATCGGTCTCTCCGCGAGCCTTCTTGTTTGAGTGTAGTAGCATCGACAGCCACGGTGGGCTGTATGGATGACGATGGTGGTGGTGATGGTGGCTGCTTTACATTGGCGGCATGGACCTGTGCGTAGGTACGGGCAGAGCGCAGGGCGGCGCACAGCTGCACAGACTGAAGGCGACTACATATCCGGGGCTGCAGCATTGTGTCGTCGAGAGCCCGGGGGCGGTGGATGCGTGGCGGGGATGCAATGGCACAGCTGCTTGGAGGGCTGGTGCTGGCGGTGTCACGAATAATTCTCCAGGCGGCCGGATTGGGCCTAGCGCAAGACGGGCGGGGGAGTGCCTGCCTGCCCTGCCCTGCTCTGCCCTGCCCTGCCCGGCGTGATGGCCCAGCAACAACCAGCGTCTGCTCTGTCACCCATCACAACACGCACCCGCCCGCCAGTGTTGCTCACCCTTACTGCACTGCACTGCACGCCTCCGACTACGCGACATCCATCGCAGCTCTGCGCCTCGCCATCTGCCCTCTCGCCAGCCGCTCATCGCCGCTACAGAAACGCGTTGCGTCACGGCATCTTCCTCAGCGTAAGTTTGCACACGCGCCTGTGGGGCGTGCACTGTTGCCTTTGCCAGCCTCGACGGCCATTTTGGCGCGTGGGACGTGGAAAGCCAAGCTAGCCGGCCCTCGCTCAAAACACACAACATACCCTCTCACTCCCACACACAACACACCTTGGTGCACCTCCTCCCTCGCCCAACCTCCACTTTCCTTCTTGTGCACGCCGTAGCTGGACCTCTACCCCGTCCACTCAATTAACCCGTCAAGCGCTCCAAGGGTTCGTCTCTCCTGCTGGCCCGTCACGTCGCCCTCATCCTCGCTGCTGCACCCTGTCGAGCGTGTCTGGCCCACCAGCATTCGCGAGCATCGACCGTGGTCCGCTCACCCAGCTTCGTGCATACCCTGCGCGCCCGTCGATGCTCCGCTGCTGTTGGCCTGCCACCTCCGACGCGCCCTGCTCAAGCTCCGTCGAACTCTGCTAACATCACCAAACAGTGCATCACAACACATCAAACATCAGCCATTACACACTGCACATCTACTCGAACACCTGTATACCTCTTTAGCTTTGCTTAGCATACCTAATATTGCTTGCCATGCCTCCAGCAGTACGTCATTACCCTTTTGCTGCATCCGTCCCAGAGACCCACGACGCGGCAGGAACGTGTATGCCTCCCATACAGCTCACTAACACGCTCCAACAGGTTCGATCTACGAGGCAACGCGCCGTCACGAATGAGAACGATGAAAACGCCACTACGACACGCTTGACGCGTGCAAAGGCCGCCAACTTGGGCGCCAACGAGTCCGCAGCAGACGTGCCCAAGAAGGCTCTCCAGACAAAGAAGTCGACTGCTACCCTCGGCGCGAACGGTGCCGCGACGCGAAAGCGTGCGGCTCTTGGTGACGTCAGCAATGTCACAAAGCAGGACGCCCTGGGTGCTGGTGTAAAAGACGGAAAGAAGCCACTGGCTACCAAGGGCCAACTCTCAAAAGCAGCACAGCCCACCAAGGTCGAGAAGTCATCACGGGCCGGTTCGACGCGTTCCATTCTACAGCAAAAGGAAAAGATCTCTACATCCGACCTCAAGAAGCGCCCAGCTAGTGGCAACGGTATCACAGGTCAGCCAGCAAAGAAGCGCGGCGCTGCCGCCGCAAAGCCAGTCAAGGCGGAGCCAAAGGTGGATGTGAAGGGGGACGTCAAGGAGGAAGAGGAGAAGGAGCAGGAAGAAGAGAAGGAAGAGCAGCCAGAGGAGGAAGAGGAGGAGAACGTCGAGCCTCAAGAAAAGAAGGTGGTTGAAGAGGACAATGTCAAGCAGAGCAAGGGCTCAAAGAAGGAGGTAGAGGCACCCGTCACCGAGGTCTTCTACGACGGCCCGGATCTAGACAAGGAGGACGTTGACGACCCGCTCATGGTCTCCGAGTATGTTGTCGAGATCTTTGAGTACCTGAAGGAGCTTGAGATTGCCACCATGGCCAACCCCGACTACATGGAGAGCCAAACCGAACTCGAGTGGAAGATGCGCGGCATTCTTATCGACTGGTTACTCGAGGTCCATACCCGCTTCCGCCTCCTTCCCGAGACTCTCTTCCTCGCTGTCAACATCATTGACCGCTTCCTTTCCACCAAGATTGTTCAACTAGACCGCCTCCAGTTGGTTGGTGTAACTGCCATGTTCATCGCCTCCAAGTACGAGGAGGTTCTCTCTCCTCACGTACAGAACTTCCGCCATGTTGCCGATGATGGCTTCACTGAGGAGGAGATTCTTAGCGCCGAACGCTTCGTCCTTGCAGCCTTGAACTACGACCTGAGCTACCCCAACCCCATGAACTTCCTCCGCCGGATATCAAAGGCCGACAACTACGACATCCAGACTCGCACATTGGGCAAATATCTCTTGGAGATTGGCTGCCTGGATCACCGCTTCCTCGCCCACCCTCCTAGCCAGGTCGCTGCCGCCGCCATGTACCTCGCTCGCCTTGTTCTTGAGCGTGGCCCTTGGGTATGTCACAGTCGTGCCCCATATATATTATTTGTTTCTAACTTGAACAGGACGCTACACTTACACACTATGCCGGTTACACTGAGCAGGAGATCCAGCCTGTTCTGGAGCTGATGATCGACTACCTCTCCAGCCCTGTCGTACACGAGGCCTTCTTTAAGAAGTATGCCAGCAAAAAGTTCTTGAAAGGTAAGGGTTACTATGCCCTCTTGATACGTCCGCCACTAACACGATGCAGCATCCATTGTTCTTCGCAAGTGGGCCAAGGAATACGTTGCTGCTTATGGTAACGCACTCCAAGAAGAGGCCGCTGTCCCCTCCAAGACCAAGAGCGTGCGCTAAGCGTGTGGGTTCTTGTTAGGCAATACCGGTCTTTGGCTTATGTGTCGCAAAGCTATTCATTACCGCCGGCATGGGAACGAGTAGTGATTGACGAAGTTCAGGTCCCGACCGGGAGCCAAAATTTACGATTGCATCCAAACCAGGCTATTCATGTTTGCATCTTGGCTAATACCATCTTCCGGTCGGCGTTTAATACATGGGATGCAAGTTGGTTGTTCACTTCATTGTTGGTTCTTTTTCCTCCATAAGTGGTTTTTTTGTTTGCTTGGAAACGGAGTTGCCGGCGTTCATCTCCTGTCAATGGAGGCGCAACGAGGGTGTGTTTGTTTTTTTCCACCTTTTCAGATCGCACTTTACCTCATTTCTTATAGCGGCTCTGGATACTCGCTCATGGCTTAGGCGGTCCAATGTACCAGGAACGGTATGATATGAGAGAGGCTTTTATTCCTTTGTGGACCTGTATGGAGTGTCTGTCTGTCTGTGGTCTGTGTGTGGTGTGGTGTGTGGGGAAAACATGGTCATTTGGCATATCAGATAAGGAGATATTCGTTCTCCGCACATGTATGAGTAGTGTGTGAATTGCACACTGTTTGGGGGGCGTAGTAGAATGGAGCAAAGCATGTTGAATAATCTGGTCGTCTTGGAAAGAAAGACTTTGATGTGACAGATGTTGTTGTGCCTTTTCGAATCACGTCATGTGTACCAATATGCCCCCAAAAGTCCCAGCCATATCGCCCCGTTGTGGTGTTTTGTGACCGAAACGCCATAGTTCCACGGTCTCGCGTCGCGTACGCCCTGCCTCGAAAGCAACACGGTAGTGGCACGTCATGCGTGTCTACACCGCGTCCACCCATCACGTCGCCCTACCTTGGCCAATTAGTCCCATGCATTACGCATTAACCCAGAGACGCGGACTGGCCTAGCTCTCTAGCTGAATCCCCCCGACCAGCCAACCAAAGCAAATGTCATCATCGCTGGCGTCCGTCCACCCGTTTCCCCCCTCCCGGGGAATGGATGCAAATGGATGACATGGTTGGTGGACCTTGGCATGTTTCTTCCCAGCCCCCCAGCCACAAAAGTCGCTCCCCGGGCCCAGATGCCTGTTGCGAGCGCGCGATCGTTGCACCGAGGTCTAAGCAGCGAGACGTGGGGGAGCTATACCGCTTTGACTGTGATTAATCGAGGGCTCGAGCTTTACAGTGCATGTGCAGGTGCGATCGTAGCTTTTTGATCTCATCTTCGCTTTTTGTTTTTGTTTTTGTTTTTTTAACCAACTCTTTAATCACGGCAAAAAGCCAGAGACAGGAAACTTGCTCGACCCTGAGAACTTTTTGTTTGGAGGTTTTCGCCATCGTGATACTTGCCGGTTTTGGGGTGGGTGACTTTTTGCTGACGGGTGTTGTTGGGTGGCGTCGCAATCGCGAACTAAGTTACGTGCATCTGGGAATCCTTGACGACCAACGTACACACGTTACGACTTTGTGGAACAATCAACAAACAAAAAAACACACACAACATCCACGCTTCTCACCCAATCTCTCCACATTTCTCGATTGGGCCACCCTCCCATCTCTTTCCCCTGCTCCACAAATAAACAAGCAAACGCCACATAGCCCGCAACCCCAGCAACAGCAGCCATGCAAGAAACCGACCTCCACTACCCGCCAGAAACCTGTCCCTTTTGCAGCATCGCCGCCGCGTATCCCGTCTCCGAGAGCGCACAGGCTGGCGCTTCGCTATGGCGCAGTGCACCTGAGCAACAGCAGAAAGAGCTAGCAGCGTGCGTACCGAGTGATGAGGAGAGTCAGGCCGACAAGACCGATCCGAGTAGTTTTGTGGTGCTGAGAAGTAATGATGTTGTTGCTTTTTTGGATATTTTGCCTATGACGAGGGGTGAGTTCTTATTCATTCTTTTTTTTCCTGTGTTGTTGTTTCTTTTAGTTTTGGGGGGAACGGGTGGGGAGGAGATGCATATGCAGGGCGTTATGTACGAGGGATGTGGGGATTGTGGGATGAGAGAGGAGGAAGATGTATGGATGGTGACGGTGCTAACATGTTGGTGATACAGGTCATTTACTTGTTACGACTCGCCAGCATAAAGTCAAGGTTGCGGATATGGGGGTTGTTGAGAGTAGGGAGATTGGTAAGTAACCTCTTTTTCTTTTGTGTTTGATTTATCTGTATAAACGCCAAGAGAACAAGTACAAATAACAATCCACAGGCTTCTGGTTACCCATTCTAGCAAGAACAGTAGCAAAAGTCACAGGCGTGACGGATTACAACATTGTTCAGAATAACGGTAAGTCTCTATACCCCTTCTCTCCATCTCCTCTACCCTTTTTTACATTCATCCCACACCAACATGTTATGCTAAATACCACCTAGGCGCAAGAGCAGCACAAGTAGTACCACATGTTCACTTCCACATTATACCGCGGCCAGAAAGCATGCCCGAAATCAAGAGCAAGAGCTGGACCATGTTTGGACGGGGTCAACGCGATGATCTCGATGATGAAGAAGGGTCCAAGTTGGCGGGCGAGATGAGAAGAGTGTTGAGGGCTGAGCTAGAGAAGATGGGTACTGGGGGCGGGTCAAAGTTATAGCGGGGGACTTAATATGGAGAGTTTCTGCAGAGGAAGAAAGTAAGACGTGAGATGAGCAACTTCGAAGACTAGGGGAATAACATGTGCTTTGTAATTTTGGTATGATAATTATTTCATCGCAATTTTTATGTAATTATTCTCTCCCGCACGTACGTTGAGCCTGTCGTTATACACATTCCGTTCGTAACAAGAGATGGGTATCATCATCATCATCTTTCCTTGGAAGATCCAACTGCCTCAGCAGTTCCAAAGCAACGCCCTTAAGTAAAACCAGAGAAAAAAAAAACTTCCACTCGACCAATTTCCTTCTCTCATATCGACATTTACTGGCTCTTCTTGGCCTGCTCCTTTTGATCCGCAGGCACAAACCTCTTGCGAACAGCCTTAATCATCTGGTTGAACCAGAAGAAGTTGAGCATGCTCAGCGCCGTGTTACCAACAAGATAGACGCAAACCAGCCACATTGGGAGGTCACCGTAGCAGTTTCCAGATCCATCAAGACCCATGCTGCTATTGGTGCTTCCGTCGCATTTGTGTGCTTCCAGGAGTGAACTCATGCTGTCAGTCTGCGACATGGTCAAAGCCTTGTAGATATCCGAGTAAATCATAATGGACTGGTAAGTTCCCCAGATGATGCGACAGCCAAAAAATGTCACAAGCAGAGCGATGCCATTGTAGAGCTGGAGCTTGGATCCCGTCATTCCGAGCTTGTCACAAAACCAGTGGATATTAAGGAACGGGGTGGATAGCTCGTAGAGGACAAAAGAGAGACCGTAGTAGTTTCCAAAAGGTTTCTGATGTACGAGTCAGCTTGAATTTGCGACACACGGCCCAAGGGGGCAGGTGGGTTGCCGCGACTTACAAAACCGATGCAAGTTACAGCCAGAGCGCCGATGGCGTGAATGAGCGCACTGACGCCGGCAATGCTGATGTATTGTGTGGATATTTGGAGGTCCCAGAGGAAGTAGCCAGCAGCAAAGCCTTGAACCATGCCGCTTGCTGGTGTGTAGCCCCAGAGTCTTCCCCTCCAGTCCATGGCGTGTCGTTCCTCATCCTTGAAAATGACCCATAGCGCAGCGCCGCATATGAAGAGAGACTGGATCATGGAGACCCAGTGAATGTCCCAGTTGAGTCGCGTGCGCTTGTTGAAGCCATGGTAGGCTTTTGGGCATACTAATCGCGAGACAGCCGGCGAAAGGACATAGAGGATGAAGTGGTATCCGAGGAAGCCAAGGAATATTTCGTGGACATGGTAAGGGAGAGTCGTCAGGTTCAGTTTTTCAGCGAGGGGCTTGCTTGCTTGGACAAGCAGCGAAGGTGGGGGGAGAGGATCCCGCATGTTGGGTCTGAGTACAGTATCGACTAGAGACATGGTATCAGTATTTTGTCGTGTGACGCAACAACAAAGGACGAGATGGAAAAGCAAAAAGAGGTATTTACCAGACGGGCAGGGCTACATGTTCCGTGTATATATACTGCATGCGACTCAGGGAGGAGGGCTTAGCGATGGCCAGGGTTTCTTCCTGTTGCGTCTGAAGTATCGTGTGTCGAACACTTGATGCTCCGAAAGTCCGCACTACGCGCAGATGGCTAGATCGCCAGGTCGTCACATGCGGGGCTGGCGATCGAACATGGTAGAAAGCTTGCACTGCACGCTAAGCCACGCCTTGGCTTGGAGGGCTTTGGGCGCGTGCATGACCATCTGCCGGCTCAATCGATCCTCGCCCGCAATCAGCGTCATTCCGCAGCCTGTAGTCAGGACGTGTCTAATGTACCTGCGTGCGGCCATTATCTTATATCCATCGACCATCGACCACCCCACGGCTGCGTACTACGTGTATTTGTAGGCAGTGCATCCGAGTACGTACACAGGCCCGCTCATCCGCACCCTCTGGAGCAGCATGGCGTGCCCTTCAGAAACACTAACCAAACATGGTGCCTCTGGATGACAGCCCACCACGCACCGAGGTACTTCGTCGCAAAGAAACTCCGATTCCCTCTCGGCGGCCCCACACCTCACCGCCCGACTTTTCTGCCGCCCTCGACATCGTGAAGCTGGAGCTTGCACCTGGTCTGGGAAGAGACCGCGCTGATCCGCGCCTCCAGCCAACCGCCTGACTGCACCCATACCTGTCGCAAAAAGATGAGCGAGCGAGGCGACGTCACGGCGCAAACTGCCGAAAGAGCAGACACGGGTACGCCGCCTGTTGATGATGGTGCCGCGGATGCGCAGGCTGGCCAAAACAGCAAAAAGCGCAAGAACGGCAAGGAGCCCGAGGCCAACAAGAAGCCCAAAGTGATTGAGAACAAGGCTGTTTGGATCTCCAATCTGCCCCCAGACACGACTGCCAAAGAGATTGAAGATGAGTTCTCGCGCTTCGGCATCATTGACAAGGGCGCCGATGGCCAGCCACGCATCAAAATGTACATGGACGACGAGACAGGCAAGTTCACGGGCAATGCCATGGTGGTATATTTCCGCAAAGAAGCCATCACCAATGCCGTCAACATGATGGATGACTACGTTCTCCGCCCCGGTGACTACTCCAACGGCACCATCCGCGTCGAGCCCGCCAAGATTGAGCACAAGAAGGAGAGAGACGGCGACAAGATTGCGTCGAAGCTCACACGCAAGGACAGAAAGGCATCGGAGCGCAACAGGGCAGAACTGAACCGGTGAGTTAGGCCACTTCGCACCCTCGGTGCACCCATCTGCCTACACCATGACCCGTTACTAACACTAGTGCAGCAAACTCAACGAATGGTCCGACAACGAAGAAGAAGTCGCCGAAGCATTTGCACCCAAGAAGAACAAGTGGGCCAAAGTCGTCATCATCAAGCACGCCTTCACCCCCGCCGAGCTAGACGAAGAGCCAGAAGCCTACCTCGAGATCAAGGAGGAAATGCGCGAGGCGGCAGAGGAGTACGGCGAAGTTACAAATTGCACCCTCTACGACAAGGAGCCCGAGGGCATTGTTACTGTTCGGTTCCGCGAGTTTGAGCCAGCGGAAAAGTTCATGGCGGATTACCAGGGCAGAGGGTACCAGAAGAGGAAGCTGGCTCTGTCGCTTGCGGAAGACAAGCCGCGCTTCAAGAAGTCTACTCGGGGCGACGAGCCGGACAGCGACGAGGGCGAGGCGGACCGTGTGGCGTCAACGGCTGGCGGGTAAGACGGCTGGTTTCATTTGCTTTCTTTGTTTTGTTTCATTTGATTTTTTTTCTCTTGCAACCGCGTTTGGTTGAGAATGGCATGTTGAAGCTCAAGCCACGCTAAGCGACCACATGGGATTTAGTTTGCTGGAGCCGATACCCTTAATTAATATACCAGCTACACGATACATTGAAAAGCCACTTCGGCTCGCTTCGAACAGGCATGAAGGATTCCAAATCAAAAAATCATCGAACTAAAACATTTTCCGCATTTCTGTTCTCTAAATTTGGAAATAAAACTACATTAAGGAAGAGGTGAAAAGAAGAAAGGAGAAAAGGTTGTGTGGTCATGTACAAATGCACACAAGCCACAAGAAATCGCCAAAACATTATACCATGTCCTCCCTTTGCCTTGCCTTTTCCCCATCAAGGCTAGCAAGACCATGGACATTAAATCTTTCGCTTTCGTCTGGTATCAATGACAATCATGAAAAAAAAGTAGTAAAGAATCGAATAACAAAGAAAATCGGGCAATGGTGTGCTATGCATCGTAGTCTTTGTTTACAAGGCAAAGATTGCGGCAGCGGCAGCGGCGAGTAGAGCACCTACGCCACCAACAGTCTTTGGAGCAGCACCGGGGAACTCTGCTGGGCTTGAAGATGTGGCCGAGGGGGCGCTGGGGAAGGTGGGCTTGCCAGCAGTAGGCGCGGGAACAGTGCCGTTGTAGCCAGCGGCGCTAGTAGGGATGCTGTAGCCGGTAGAGGCCATGGTCGAAGTAGAGCAGTCTTCAGACTTGGGGGGCTCCTCATTTGACTCGCCGTCGGCGACCTTTTCAAAGTTGGCACATCCAATGCGCGTCTTGTTGGCAAGGTGGAGCACGAATGAGAGCGAACCAAACTATTAGGGTATTAGTTCATTGTGGTGTCTAATAGTGTTGCAAGGCCGGATTCACTTACGAAAGCAGGATCGGAAGGCAGAGTAGCAGAGTACAAGTCTGTGTACTCGGCGGAGAACTCTTGGGTGCTGAAGTTTCCGTACTTGCCGCTCAAGTCACCAGTCTGGCAAGTCTCGGGCGCGCTCGCATTGCACGACATGGTCTCGCCGTAGTGGTAAGGGTCCAAGTGAGCACCAGTGGCAGTGCAGTTGCCGTCGGCAGGGACAGGCTTAGCATGAAGGTGGTACATGAACGGGCCGCCAGTGGCTGGGAGACCGGCAAAGTGAACGCTAAACTTGACACCCTTGCCGTCGGCAGCGGTGGTACCTTCAATGGTACCCGAGAGGGAGCTTCCGGCCTTCTGAGGAAGCGTAGCAACGTACTTTGCGCCGATGGGGTTGTTTGCTACTACGGGGGCGTTGGTAGACTGAGCGGTGACGGCGGAAGCCGCGGCTAGGATGGAGATGACGGAGACAAGCATCTTGATTGTGTGCGTATGTAACGGCGGTAGGTTGAAGCAGACAAAGCGAGCGACTGACTGTGTAATGGTTTAGTAAAGTGAAGGTGGAAGTGCAAGCAATTTGTAGGCGAAGGGTGGTATGTGAAGGAAATGAAGTGGAGCAGCTGCCAAGGATATGTATATGAAGCGGCACAGCGGGAGTGCCACCAGGAAATTAGGAAAGCGCAACCCTTGTGACAGCAAGGAAACATCAAACAAAATAGGGAGGAAAAATCGACGTCATACTGGGGTTGGGAAAGGGAAGGAGCAGAAGAGGCCCAATTGAGCCGAGGGCAGGCTTACCAATATTAGAGCGTGGAGCTGACCAGTGTGTATACAGTAGTCTAGTATTAGTGTTTACACGAGGCGACCGAGGGTGGAAGCAAAGAGTAGGGTGAGAGGAGCTGTACAGGAACGAGGTGAGGATGGGTAGAGAGATAGGCGGGGGCGAAAACTATATAGACGTGTGTAGTATGCTGAGAAGAGGCACAGCAGCAGCAGGGCCAGAGGTTGGGCCCATTGTCCACGTCGGCGGCAGTACTCTACACTACTACTGCTAGTAGCAGAGCCAAAAGCAGGCGGGCCCTGCCACACGCCGCCTCTGGCGTGCACCCGTCGTACGTGCCTCGAAGCTTGGTGAAGGCGATTGCGGCCTAGCAGCGAGTCGTTTTGGAGGTCTGCGGCGCTGTCATTGGCGCAGTGCGGCAGGGCCGACAGGGCATTGGCTTGAAACCATGTTGTTTGTCGTGGGAGCTTGTGCATATCGACTGGTAGTTTCGAAACATCGAGGCGCATGGGCGCTTTGCTGGCCAATCGTTGTGGGGACGGCCCTGATTCCTGAACCCCAGCTAACCTCATGTACGCACGCTGTAAGCCCGTCGCCTTCCAGCCAGCTGTGTCTTCAGCCACCCATCGCCTATTGCCAACCTTCCTGGAGGCTGGTATCTGCCATGTCTCATGCAGCCACTCACCCTCTTCTCACTCCTGCTTCTGTCCGTCTGCACAGCTCGCCGTGTCCTTTTTGTCACACTGCCGTGTCTGCGACTGCTTTTGCGCAAACGTCTCTTGTTTGGCCGTCATCTTCTCGCGCCTGTTCCGGCTGCGGGGGCCTAAGCTCCGCCAACTGCCGCGCCAGCGCCATGCATCAGCCTTGCAATCAGTCCAATTTTAACCCCATACACTGCCACAGCCTTAGGGAAACACTTTTTTCCTCGCGCTAGCCCTGAGCCGTTTCGACCACCCAATACACCGTAACACACGCCAAACAGGCGTTCCTGAAGCCAGTGTTGCAAATGCCTTTTTTTTGCTCCTCAGTCATGTTGCTGAGGCACAACCAGGGAGTGATCCACGGCACGGCAACAACGGATGTGAGATGAAGCGAGAGACCACAGTATTGCCGGTCAACTGGCACCAAGCTTTATCGCCCAGTGTGACTCGCCCAATCACACCGCCTTGCCGCCTACAAGTCACGCAGGCTAATATACCATTGATTGATTGATTCCATCTGCTTTACTTCACACCTTAGCGTCCACAAACACAACCCTCTTTCCCAAACAATCCAAGAGAAACACTTACAAAAACAATGCCGCGCTCAATTGTGGATGCAGAAGCCACTGCAATAACCCACAGCCCCTGCTCCACAGCTTTACTACACTGATGCGCTCCCGTCATCCGGTCATGACTAGTCTTCTACCTCTTTCCTTGCTTACGACGCACGTGTGGCGCTTGTCTTGGCTGATAGCTGCTACCACATGGTTTCTTGTCAAGATGCTCGATCGCTCCGATAATACTATGCAGCATCCCCCATGCCTATACGGCCAGCTCTTGGTCACTGCCGCGGGGAAAAACATCCAATTCGAGTAGAAGCAGTCCATATTGAACTCGGTGTATACCGCATGGAGAAGGAGCGGTGTGCCGGATAGGGAAAGGCCTTTGCTTGCTCTGATGGCAAGCGCACAGTTGCGGAGCCACAAACTCCATAGTCGAACTGGTTGATCTTGTGAGACCAGATACTCTGTGAGATACTGAAAAAGTAGTTCCTATGGCATTGAGCCAACTGTAGAAACTCATGCTAGTGATAGAGATCGAGCGCATGGTACATTCATACATACGTCATGACATGGTATTTGTTCGATTGTGAATACATGGCATAAGTAGTACACAACCTCTTACTTATCCATGAACCTGAGGTCTGTACCACTGACGTGAGCAAGACTGGTTTATGCACGATTCTTCAAAGGAATAGCGTCAAAACGTAGTATCCTTGGTGCCTCCATCCTAGCTTCGGCCAAATCGAATCTTTTGTTAACGTCTCTCCGGACTAAAGCCGTACATCCCAGGTTCATGTACGTCAACGTGTATCGTATTCGACTTTGTAGCTGATCTTGGCATCGCACTACTCAACAACGCTTGAACGTACTAAATGCACTCTGACAGCCCTGACATTCAACTTACTAGTACTTTGGCTCTGGGTGACTCTTTAAATATTAACATCTTCTTGTCACAAACAACTCGACTTTGTCGCCTTTGTCCGTCGAAGGTTCAGGGCTGATTGACATCTGTATTTGTATGTGAGAGAACGTCAAGAGTGCTTTTGCTGTGCAGGCAAGTAAAGGCGTTCTTCTGCTCCGGCTTGGCGTGTCTTTAGACTCGGTCATACTGGAATTCGACATCAAACTCTTTCCACCAACGGCGCTGGAAAAGAGTATACCGCCTGGTCTACGTTTTTGTGCTGCAGTCCGACCATTCTGTGTCTCTGCAATATCCGATTTCACTATTGGAAAATTTGCAACATCTTCGTCAGCTTCACTGATGATCAAGTGGCCCAGAGTCCAACTCTCGTAACTCTTTTGTGTACTCGATTACAGTATCATCGTCCTCTTGGAGGGAAAACATGTTTCTGTCGTATATTTTCCGAGAGTGTCATGTCCAAATCGCCGGGGTCCTGGGTACAATACAAGGCAGACATATTCCTGGGTGGGATTGGTGTTGATATCGAAAAAGGGTCCTCCTTCAAGAACCCTATTCTTGGCAAAGTGTCTGTCAGTCCAAATATGCCTCGACGTAGATCCGGTTGATCGACGACACAAACAATGCTGGAGAATATGCTGCTAATCGTTGTAGGTTAAGTAACAAAGGGCGTTTCTGCATGTTGATGCGAAAAGTCTAGATGCGTACTTTGCGTTTATATATGTATGTTTGGGAGATTGATACCAAGTGTAACGGCGCAGGCAAGACTACTCGGATCAGTATCGGCGGTAGTGTCACTCAGAGGCATATGGGAGTGCGTGGGACATCAAACGAGCCTTAATTCGAATAGACACCTATAGGCCTTGTACGAAAGGATATCAAAAATCTATCGAGCTACGGTATGGAGAAGGTGGGGTTTTATATCAGCAGATCTGCCCTCGGCTAGTGCGTGCCCATGTTCGGATCCCTTTCGGATGTTAGTTCAGTGTGTACTCGAACCGTTACACTACCCCCCCCTCTATTGACAGCTAGTCCCGTAGCTGTTGAAAAATTTTCAATGTTTGTTTGTTTGTCTGTTTGCTTGATGTCGTCATCCTTCTATGCAGGGTCTCGGCCAGGCCCCGAACAGCCTCCGGGCCAAGGAGAATCCACTCAGCACGTGATAT